GCTAGTTGATCTTGTTTATGCGGACAATATTGTCTTTTTGTGTAGCGATGTTCGGGCGGCACAATCAACCCTGAATAGCCTGTTTAGATTGGTCCCCTTATTTGTCATGCGCTTCGCACCTTCAAAGTGCAAAGTGTTACTACAAGACCACCAGTCACTTGGTGACACCTTGATAGCGAGGAACTCGAGTTCATTGATCAATTCACTTATCCTGACAGCTGCATCAGTAACGATGAACGCATAGCAACTGACGTCAGTTCACGTACTAAAAAAGCCAGAACTGCCTTGAATCTGCGACATTTTGGCGACAGAAAGGAGTTCCCCTCCGTGTTTACAGGGTCACAGTGAGGGCTACCTGTGTGGGAGTGGGACTTGCCCCTCCGATCTGAGAACCTGCGGCGCCTTCAAGTCTTCGATCATTGTTGTCTGTGCAACATTGCTGGTGTCGGGTGATACCAGCGTGTCCGCAACGATGCGGTGCGTAGACGAGTGCTAGGCAGTGATACTCAAGTTAGTTCCTTAGAACAATAGATAGCACCGAATAAATTGCATTGGCTTCGGCACGTACTACTTATGCCTAATCACCGCTTACCGAAGAGGGCGTTGTTTTATCTACCAGATGTAGGGTAGTGCAAGGCTCGAGGTGGACCAAAGTTGACTCGGCAGCGGGAACTGAAGTCACTGACAATCAAGCTCGATGCATTCGGTCCGTCACTCTTTCTGGGCTGGAGTCCACGTAACTCGCCTTGTGCTTGGCTCCAGACGTTAAAGGATATGGTTTGAAGTCGACACCAGTGGCGCGTCTGTTACGGTCTCCTAGTCGTACTGCCTGTTTAATTTTTGTTTGTTGCTGGGTTATCATAATGGCTGAGTATGACGCTGGACAGTGAAAGCCGCATGGGAGCTGGTTCGCCGATGCCGCCTTATCTTTGCACGATTGCCAACTATTTGTGACTACGTTGTTAACACAATGTGTAGGCGCATTGGTCCTGAATGTTTGCTTACGGCCTTAAGGTTTTCTGATAAGTCCTCCTCTCCTTGTTCTTTGTTCCATAGGTCGTTATGGTTGTATGACAGCACATCATTAGTTCAACTGACTGATGTACTGCTGTTGATGATGATGATGAATCTAATCTTGTTATAAGGATGGATTCCACCATATCAGTAATGGGCATCAACATAGTGCAATGGTGTGCGTGCATCCGTGGTCCTTAGGGCTATGTTGGTGGCTAGACAACTTCGGTCTGAACATCCTCACGGCAAATTGCATTGGATCAGTGGTCGCGGATTTTGAGTTATTTTCCGCGCTGAGTGCTTGCTTTGCAGACGTTTCATTGCCAGACTAGGCAACATCATTAATGCGGCTTCAACGGCTTGGTTCGCAGTACCTCATAAGCGACTTTGAGTTCAAGTGCTTATTGATCGAGTTCTGCTTTGAATGCCAGGCTTCAACGGACGCACGTGCTTGCCGACTTTTGGCCCTTCCCCAGGATGTTGACGTGCTTCAGGCCGAGTTGGTGGTTCTCGCCATCCATATGCACGGACGTCAGGGCGTTAAAATCGTAGCGACAATGGCCAGGCTTTGTTCGTGGAACTTGCCAAGCTTACTTGCACTCTGTCCTACGTAGTATTTGTCACAGATCCGGTAGTAGATCTTATAGATAACATCACTTGTTTCCTCCATACTGTTTATCTTCCACTTTGAAGAGTTTGCTACGATTTGTCTCCGTTGGTTGTTGTGCAACTTTGACTCCACAATGTAATAAAAGTAACTCCAGAGATTCCATTGCCTTAAGGAAATGTGGCTGTCTTTTCAACTGTTGCATTTGTGAAGGGTTCTGGTTGATTCACACCCCGAAAGGTATCAGCAGTACTCCGGTACGCAGCACCGACGCTTCCTTTCCGCGCAACCACCACCAGTCACACGTGGGCTAAGGATACTGCGAGCATCGCCTGATCCCCACGCAGGCTTGAACCCGCACCGTCGGATTACAAGATACGCACGCGATCATTAAGGCTACGGATATTCTCAACTATTTCAAATTAGTGGTCCTCTTCCTCAGCGCAACCATTGGAAACAATAAGTCCAACTCAGTTACCGTAGAGCACAGCATCTCTTATGTTGTGTCTGACAGTGTTTGAGTATAAAGCTTTACTTACTGATCTCCTGTCGTCCGCCGCAAACTGAACAGTCTCTGATCAATCGCTTGGCACGGACTGAAGTTTGACTACCGTCGAATGCACATCTAGTGCACAAATTTCCTACTGTTTCGCATCAACGATATATTTATTGATTCAGTCGCAGCTCCCATCCACATGTCTGTCCATTTTACCCCCTTTGCTTACGCCTGATATAAGGCGTCTGGGTGCTGGGGCGCAAGTCACTCCTGCTCCTTCTGTAGATGCGGGGGATTTATGACTGCCATTGTCTACAGCGACAATTGTGAAAATGACTATTCCTGACCATTCTCTGCCACAAACTATATGAACGTTTTGCGTACAGCAGATGGCACTAACCAGAGTTATTCTACTCCTCAGGTTTAGTTCATTTTTATTACTGGCATCACCATCAAGTACTTCCTGCAGACCCATGCTGTACATACTAAGGTCTTGCCTGACAGGAAATGTGTCTCATAAGGGCAGGCGACCTTATCTGGCAGCTGTGTGATTGAGCACCTAACTACAACAAACACTCCGAAGTGTAGCAGTCTGGAGATGTCCCGGTTTACTTGTGTAAAATTCTAACTAAAATTACTACTTTATTATACTCTTAGATGACCGGTGCTGGTTGTTTTGTTCGCTTACTCGAGTCGAGCACCGCTTTTGCTTAGCGCTCGCTTCCATCGCAACGCGCAATCAACCGGTGTACTTTGCATTTTTTTATTCTCCTTCAACAGTTCCGTCTTTTTATAGCGAGGCAAACAGGGAACCTTTCGCTGTACGAATAAAGTTTCCCTGCAAGTCGATATCTTTTTGGACCGCTATCCGGGCTCCCGCTAAAGAATTGATCTCATCTTTTGACACTCCATGAACCTCTAAAGTACAGGACGCTGTCGCTGGACCGCTGGTCGCTTGTCTGCTCTTCAACTCGTGACAACTAAGAATTGGCACCAATACCTTAAACTACGCATCATGTTGATTCGACTTTCTGGTAGTTACTTATGTCGCGGGACAGCGGAAGCCCATCCAGTAGCTTTAAGGATCACAAGCCTGCCTTGTAATCCGGGGGCACGAGTTCGAGCTTGCGTAGGGGACCGGGCGACCCTCACAGTATCAGTAGCCCACTGAAACCACAAGGAATCTGTCACACCGGCATCATCTTTTCCGAAGCAGGCGATTGGCTCCCTTATCTATATCACACCTGATGGTTGCATCACTGACCAGTTTATTGCGCGCAATAGTAAGACCGATGTGGCTTGGCAGTACCACACAAATATGAAACCATGTGTAAGTTCTTATTGATTAAGGGAAGAGTTCACAGCGATACTGTACAGCCACTGGCACTGTGTTCAATGAAGACCTGTCCGCTTCGCGTTGACGATATTGAGAGTGCTTGTGTTGCGAAGTGTTATTTATGTTCATAGGAGTCCCAATTAACCGCCAGTCTGTGGTCGAAAGGATAATAATGTTAGCCGTGCGTCGTAACTGCGCTTCGCTACCGCGCTACCACTACTAGTCGCGCGTGGGCTGAGTATACCGGGAGGGCGCCCTCCTCTACGCGGATTATAACCGGTGACCTTATGATTGCAACTCAGGTGTGCAGACCACTCGGCCACTAGCCGAAAGGATAAGAGGTCTGCCTTGCAACCCGGAGGTCACGGATTCGAACCTACGTAGGGGACCGGGTTGCTTTCGCTCGACTTATGGTGGTTGCATAGTAGCAAAACGTCGGAACGATGTACGGGCGTACTGCTGATCACTTTTTCTCCAAATTAACTGTTCCTGTGCAGCAGATCCTCTGGTGCCGAATTGGTGTATCTGTCCTACTCGAGCCGTCTACACTTGGCGTCTTATGGTCCTCGCATGTCTATAAGCCGTCTACCTTGGCTTGCATTGTTCCTCAATACCGGGTCCATTTGGGCAAGGTTCTCGAGGTTTCCTATTAATTACATCAATATGATCATCAACAGAAGTACGTCAGCCGTTATATTTCGCTGCCGTACAATCACAATTGCCTATAGAACAACGAATAACAAATGAAAGTGAAAAGGAGCCTAGCGTAAAACCTTAGCGTCCTGAGAAAACATTGTGTTAGGGTGCCTACATCTTGTCAACAGCATACCGTCGCAAACAGCTGGCTATCGTGCAGACATCGGCGAAATAGCTTTCTTGCGGCTTTCACTACTCCGTATCATAATCAGCCATTACTCCGCAAAGTACTCAGCACCAAACACCCTTTAAACAGGCAGTTCGACTAGGAGACGACGGCCGACACGACACTGATGTCGACTGCGAGCCATGTCCTGTAATGTCTCAAGCCAAGTCCAAGCAAGTCATATGGGCTCCAGCCTGAAAGACGAGACTGGCCAACGGCACTCAGTTTACTGGTCAGTGACCATTTTACCTGCATAACAGCGAAGCATGAAAACTGACAAAAGTACTGAGTATGTTTAACTTTTGCTCCATTTCTAGATGGGGATTTCGGGACCGACGATATCAGTGGTTAAACACTCCATCGCATATGACACACTTTAGGCCCAGTGTTCTCTTGTTCGTTCCCATCTTTCGAACTCTAATCTACCCCATCTGCTGCTCCTGCGTCCTACCCATTATTCTTGAAATATCATTGTGATTGTTATTAATACTATTGCTTCAGTGATATTGATCATAGCAGCTGTATCTGTTGCATTTGAACTAACATGAATGGTGTTGCTCTGCACTTAGTCTATCCGTTCTCTTTTCTATCACGTAAAGTGAAGCGATATAAATCTTCCTTACCAGCGATACACTCCTGTAGTGCTATACGAACTATATACACTGTCTTCTCTTATCCTCTACAGCTTGACCAAAAATGCCAAAGTTCCCAAGCTCTACCCCAACTCAACACAGGTTTACGCAAACACCGGTTGATCAGTCCGAACTACGACATGCGAAAACACAATGTCCCGTGGCCTATATCAACTGTGACGTTAATCCTGATATTCCCAGTTTTGGGCTAATCAATTCCGATAAGGGTAAACACAAAAAGAAGAGGAACCGAACACCTCAAACGACTACTGCTTTGCTCCAAAACCCGGAAATAACCATTAGCGCAACACCGCATATAGACACCCAAAACGAGGAGAGACGAAAACCTCGCAACAAACAACACAACCCTCAAAAGGATACTGGAACAAATCAACAGGTTATTTCAAGCCACCAACAGACAGGTGATCACTCGGAAACAACAGACCAAATTAAATACACATCACATAAACTCACTTCAAAAGCCTGCTACCCAGAAAAGCCAAAGAATAATAATGACGCAACACCGACAACAAAGAACACAGAAAAAAAACAAGGAGGCATTACACAAAGTAAACATATAAAAAAGCATTTTCTTCCACTCGAATCCAAAACAATCACAAAAAATAACTTCGGCAAACCAAACTCCGATACGGATTCTAGTGATGATGCTGCTGCTCCGGTGATGGGGAAGTCGAATGTGACGCCAGTTCAACGTGGCGGTGTAGTGTCGAAGGGAGCGGTTGGTGGGAGTGCGTCGAAATCTGGATCGGCGGCGTTGGTTGGTGTTGGAGGTGTTTCGAAGTCCGGTGCGAAGCGTGCTGCGGAGTCGAGCTCCGATTCGGACTCTAGTGATGATGCTGCTGCTCCGGTGATGGGGAAGTCGAGTGTGACGCCAGTTCAACGTGGCGGTGTAGTGTCGAAGGGAGCGGTTGGTGGGAGTGCGTCGAAATCTGGATCGGCGGCGTTGGTTGGTGTTGGAGGTGTTTCGAAGTCCGGTGCGAAGCGTGCTGCGGAGTCGAGCTCCGATTCGGACTCTAGTGATGATGCTGCTGCTCCGGTGATGGGGAAGTCGAATGTGACGCCAGTTCAACGTGGCGGTGTAGTGTCGAAGGGAGCGGTTGGTGGGAGTGCGTCGAAATCTGGATCGGCGGCGTTGGTTGGTGTTGGAGGTGTTTCGAAGTCCGGTGCGAAGCGTGCTGCGGAGTCGAGCTCCGATTCGGACTCTAGTGATGATGCTGCTGCTCCGGTGATGGGGAAGTCGAATGTGACGCCAGTTCAACGTGGCGGTGTAGTGTCGAAGGGAGCGGTTGGTGGGAGTGCGTCGAAATCTGGATCGGCGGCGTTGGTTGGTGTTGGAGGTGTTTCGAAGTCCGGTGCGAAGCGTGCTGCGGAGTCGAGCTCCGATTCGGACTCTAGTGATGATGCTGCTGCTCCGGTGATGGGGAAGTCGAATGTGACGCCAGTTCAACGTGGCGGTGTAGTGTCGAAGGGAGCGGTTGGTGGGAGTGCGTCGAAATCTGGATCGGCGGCGTTGGTTGGTGTTGGAGGTGTTTCGAAGTCCGGTGCGAAGCGTGCTGCGGAGTCGAGCTCCGATTCGGACTCTAGTGATGATGCTGCTGCTCCGATGATGGGGAAGTCGAATGTGACGCCAGTTCAACGTGGCGGTGTAGTGTCGAAGGGAGCGGTTGGTGGGAGTGCGTCGAAATCTGGATCGGCGGCGTTGGTTGGTGTTGGAGGTGTTTCGAAGTCCGGTGCGAAGCGTGCTGCGGAGTCGAGCTCCGATTCGGACTCTAGTGATGATGCTGCTGCTCCGGTGATGGGGAAGTCGAATGTGACGCCAGTTCAACGTGGCGGTGTAGTGTCGAAGGGAGCGGTTGGTGGGAGTGCGTCGAAATCTGGATCGGCGGCGTTGGTTGGTGTTGGAGGTGTTTCGAAGTCCGGTGCGAAGCGTGCTGCGGAGTCGAGCTCCGATTCGGACTCTAGTGATGATGCTGCTGCTCCGGTGATGGGGAAGTCGAATGTGACGCCAGTTCAACGTGGCGGTGTAGTGTCGAGGGGAGCGGTTGGTGGGAGTGCGTCGAAATCTGGATCGGCGGCGTTGGTTGGTGTTGGAGGTGTTTCGAAGTCCGGTGCGAAGCGTGCTGCGGAGTCGAGCTCCGATTCGGACTCTAGTGATGATGCTGCTGCTCCGGTGATGGGGAAGTCGAATGTGACGCCAGTTCAACGTGGCGGTGTAGTGTCGAGGGGAGCGGTTGGTGGGAGTGCGTCGAAATCTGGATCGGCGGCGTTGGTTGGTGTTGGAGGTGTTTCGAAGTCCGGTGCGAAGCGTGCTGCGGAGTCGAGCTCCGATTCGGACTCTAGTGATGATGCTGCTGCTCCGGTGATGGGGAAGTCGAATGTGACGCCAGTTCAACGTGGCGGTGTAGTGTCAAAGGGAGCGGTTGGTGGGAGTGCGTCGAAATCTGGATCGGCGGCGTTGGTTGGTGTTGGAGGTGTTTCGAAGTCCGGTGCGAAGCGTGCTGCGGAGTCGAGCTCCGATTCGGACTCTAGTGATGATGCTGCTGCTCCGGTGATGGGGAAGTCGAATGTGACGCCAGTTCAACGTGGCGGTGTAGTGTCGAAGGGAGCGGTTGGTGGGAGTGCGTCGAAATCTGGATCGGCGGCGTTGGTTGGTGTTGGAGGTGTTTCGAAGTCCGGTGCGAAGCGTGCTGCGGAATCGAGCTCCGATTCGGACTCTAGTGATGATGCTGCTGCTCCGGTGATGGGGAAGTCGAATGTGACGCCAGTTCAACGTGGCGGTGTAGTGTCGAAGGGAGCGGTTGGTGGGAGTGCGTCGAAATCTGGATCGGCGGCGTTGGTTGGTGTTGGAGGTGTTTCGAAGTCCGGTGCGAAGCGTGCTGCGGAGTCGAGCTCCGATTCGGACTCTAGTGATGATGCTGCTGCTCCGGTGATGGGGAAGTCGAATGTGACGCCAGTTCAACGTGGCGGTGTAGTGTCGAAGGGAGCGGTTGGTGGGAGTGCGTCGAAATCTGGATCGGCGGCGTTGGTTGGTGTTGGAGGTGTTTCGAAGTCCGGTGCGAAGCGTGCTGCGGAGTCGAGCTCCGATTCGGACTCTAGTGATGATGCTGCTGCTCCGGTGATGGGGAAGTCGAATGTGACGCCAGTTCAACGTGGCGGTGTAGTGTCGAAGGGAGCGGTTGGTGGGAGTGCGTCGAAATCTGGATCGGCGGCGTTGGTTGGTGTTGGAGGTGTTTCGAAGTCCGGTGCGAAGCGTGCTGCGGAATCGAGCTCCGATTCGGACTCTAGTGATGATGCTGCTGCTCCGGTGATGGGGAAGTCGAATGTGACGCCAGTTCAACGTGGCGGTGTAGTGTCGAAGGGAGCGGTTGGTGGGAGTGCGTCGAAATCTGGATCGGCGGCGTTGGTTGGTGTTGGAGGTGTTTCGAAGTCCGGTGCGAAGCGTGCTGCGGAGTCGAGCTCCGATTCGGACTCTAGTGATGATGCTGCTGCTCCGGTGATGGGGAAGTCGAATGTGACGCCAGTTCAACGTGGCGGTGTAGTGTCGAAGGGAGCGGTTGGTGGGAGTGCGTCGAAATCTGGATCGGCGGCGTTGGTTGGTGTTGGAGGTGTTTCGAAGTCCGGTGCGAAGCGTGCTGCGGAGTCGAGCTCCGATTCGGACTCTAGTGATGATGCTGCTGCTCCGGTGATGGGGAAGTCGAATGTGACGCCAGTTCAACGTGGCGGTGTAGTGTCGAAGGGAGCGGTTGGTGGGAGTGCGTCGAAATCTGGATCGGCGGCGTTGGTTGGTGTTGGAGGTGTTTCGAAGTCCGGTGCGAAGCGTGCTGCGGAGTCGAGCTCCGATTCGGACTCTAGTGATGATGCTGCTGCTCCGGTGATGGGGAAGTCGAATGTGACGCCAGTTCAACGTGGCGGTGTAGTGTCGAAGGGAGCGGTTGGTGGGAGTGCGTCGAAATCTGGATCGGCGGCGTTGGTTGGTGTTGGAGGTGTTTCGAAGTCCGGTGCGAAGCGTGCTGCGGAGTCGAGCTCCGATTCGGACTCTAGTGATGATGCTGCTGCTCCGGTGATGGGGAAGTCGAATGTGACGCCAGTTCAACGTGGCGGTGTAGTGTCGAAGGGAGCGGTTGGTGGGAGTGCGTCGAAATCTGGATCGGCGGCGTTGGTTGGTGTTGGAGGTGTTTCGAAGTCCGGTGCGAAGCGTGCTGCGGAGTCGAGCTCCGATTCGGACTCTAGTGATGATGCTGCTGCTCCGGTGATGGGGAAGTCGAATGTGACGCCAGTTCAACGTGGCGGTGTAGTGTCGAAGGGAGCGGTTGGTGGGAGTGCGTCGAAATCTGGATCGGCTGCGTTGGTTGGTGTTGGAGGTGTTTCGAAGTCCGGTGCGAAGCGTGCTGCGGAGTCGAGCTCCGATTCGGACTCTAGTGATGATGCTGCTGCTCCGGTGATGGGGAAGTCGAATGTGACGCCAGTTCAACGTGGCGGTGTAGTGTCGAAGGGAGCGGTTGGTGGGAGTGCGTCGAAATCTGGATCGGCGGCGTTGGTTGGTGTTGGAGGTGTTTCGAAGTCCGGTGCGAAGCGTGCTGCGGAGTCGAGCTCCGATTCGGACTCTAGTGATGATGCTGCTGCTCCGGTGATGGGGAAGTCGAATGTGACGCCAGTTCAACGTGGCGGTGTAGTGTCGAAGGGAGCGGTTGGTGGGAGTGCGTCGAAATCTGGATCGGCGGCGTTGGTTGGTGTTGGAGGTGTTTCGAAGTCCGGTGCGAAGCGTGCTGCGGAGTCGAGCTCCGATTCGGACTCTAGTGATGATGCTGCTGCTCCGGTGATGGGGAAGTCGAATGTGACGCCAGTTCAACGTGGCGGTGTAGTGTCGAGGGGAGCGGTTGGTGGGAGTGCGTCGAAATCTGGATCGGCGGCGTTGGTTGGTGTTGGAGGTGTTTCGAAGTCCGGTGCGAAGCGTGCTGCGGAATCGAGCTCCGATTCGGACTCTAGTGATGATGCTGCTGCTCCGGTGATGGGGAAGTCGAATGTGACGCCAGTTCAACGTGGCGGTGTAGTGTCGAAGGGAGCGGTTGGTGGGAGTGCGTCGAAATCTGGATCGGCGGCGTTGGTTGGTGTTGGAGGTGTTTCGAAGTCCGGTGCGAAGCGTGCTGCGGAGTCGAGCTCCGATTCGGACTCTAGTGATGATGCTGCTGCTCCGGTGATGGGGAAGTCGAATGTGACGCCAGTTCAACGTGGCGGTGTAGTGTCGAAGGGAGCGGTTGGTGGGAGTGCGTCGAAATCTGGATCGGCGGCGTTGGTTGGTGTTGGAGGTGTTTCGAAGTCCGGTGCGAAGCGTGCTGCGGAGTCGAGCTCCGATTCGGACTCTAGTGATGATGCTGCTGCTCCGGTGATGGGGAAGTCGAATGTGACGCCAGTTCAACGTGGCGGTGTAGTGTCGAAGGGAGCGGTTGGTGGGAGTGCGTCGAAATCTGGATCGGCGGCGTTGGTTGGTGTTGGAGGTGTTTCGAAGTCCGGTGCGAAGCGTGCTGCGGAGTCGAGCTCCGATTCGGACTCTAGTGATGATGCTGCTGCTCCGGTGATGGGGAAGTCGAATGTGACGCCAGTTCAACGTGGCGGTGTAGTGTCGAAGGGAGCGGTTGGTGGGAGTGCGTCGAAATCTGGATCGGCGGCGTTGGTTGGTGTTGGAGGTGTTTCGAAGTCCGGTGCGAAGCGTGCTGCGGAGTCGAGCTCCGATTCGGACTCTAGTGATGATGCTGCTGCTCCGGTGATGGGGAAGTCGAATGTGACGCCAGTTCAACGTGGCGGTGTAGTGTCGAAGGGAGCGGTTGGTGGGAGTGCGTCGAAATCTGGATCGGCGGCGTTGGTTGGTGTTGGAGGTGTTTCGAAGTCCGGTGCGAAGCGTGCTGCGGAGTCGAGCTCCGATTCGGACTCTAGTGATGATGCTGCTGCTCCGGTGATGGGGAAGTCGAATGTGACGCCAGTTCAACGTGGCGGTGTAGTGTCGAAGGGAGCGGTTGGTGGGAGTGCGTCGAAATCTGGATCGGCGGCGTTGGTTGGTGTTGGAGGTGTTTCGAAGTCCGGTGCGAAGCGTGCTGCGGAATCGAGCTCCGATTCGGACTCTAGTGATGATGCTGCTGCTCCGGTGATGGGGAAGTCGAATGTGACTCCAGTTCAACGTGGCGGTGTAGTGTCGAAGGGAGCGGTTGGTGGTAGTGCGTCGAAATCTGGATCGGCGGCGTTGGTTGGTGTTGGAGGTGTTTCGAAGTCCGGTGCGAAGCGTGCTGCGGAGTCGAGCTCCGATTCGGACTCTAGTGATGATGCTGCTGCTCCGGTGATGGGGAAGTCGAATGTGACGCCAGTTCAACGTGGCGGTGTAGTGTCGAAGGGAGCGGTTGGTGGGAGTGCGTCGAAATCTGGATCGGCGGCGTTGGTTGGTGTTGGAGGTGTTTCGAAGTCCGGTGCGAAGCGTGCTGCGGAGTCGAGCTCCGATTCGGACTCTAGTGATGATGCTGCTGCTCCGGTGATGGGGAAGTCGAATGTGACGCCAGTTCAACGTGGCGGTGTAGTGTCGAAGGGAGCGGTTGGTGGGAGTGCGTCGAAATCTGGATCGGCGGCGTTGGTTGGTGTTGGAGGTGTTTCGAAGTCCGGTGCGAAGCGTGCTGCGGAATCGAGCTCCGATTCGGACTCTAGTGATGATGCTGCTGCTCCGGTGATGGGGAAGTCGAATGTGACGCCAGTTCAACGTGGCGGTGTAGTGTCGAAGGGAGCGGTTGGTGGGAGTGCGTCGAAATCTGGATCGGCGGCGTTGGTTGGTGTTGGAGGTGTTTCGAAGTCCGGTGCGAAGCGTGCTGCGGAGTCGAGCTCCGATTCGGACTCTAGTGATGATGCTGCTGCTCCGGTGATGGGGAAGTCGAATGTGACGCCAGTTCAACGTGGCGGTGTAGTGTCGAAGGGAGCGGTTGGTGGGAGTGCGTCGAAATCTGGATCGGCGGCGTTGGTTGGTGTTGGAGGTGTTTCGAAGTCCGGTGCGAAGCGTGCTGCGGAGTCGAGCTCCGATTCGGACTCTAGTGATGATGCTGCTGCTCCGGTGATGGGGAAGTCGAATGTGACGCCAGTTCAACGTGGCGGTGTAGTGTCGAAGGGAGCGGTTGGTGGGAGTGCGTCGAAATCTGGATCGGCGGCGTTGGTTGGTGTTGGAGGTGTTTCGAAGTCCGGTGCGAAGCGTGCTGCGGAGTCGAGCTCCGATTCGGACTCTAGTGATGATGCTGCTGCTCCGGTGATGGGGAAGTCGAATGTGACGCCAGTTCAACGTGGCGGTGTAGTGTCAAAGGGAGCGGTTGGTGGGAGTGCGTCGAAATCTGGATCGGCGGCGTTGGTTGGTGTTGGAGGTGTTTCGAAGTCCGGTGCGAAGCGTGCTGCGGAGTCGAGCTCCGATTCGGACTCTAGTGATGATGCTGCTGCTCCGGTGATGGGGAAGTCGAATGTGACGCCAGTTCAACGTGGCGGTGTAGTGTCGAAGGGAGCGGTTGGTGGGAGTGCGTCGAAATCTGGATCGGCGGCGTTGGTTGGTGTTGGAGGTGTTTCGAAGTCCGGTGCGAAGCGTGCTGCGGAATCGAGCCCTGGTTCGAACCCTGGATCGGATACTTTGTCGTCTGCTGCCATTTTTCACTCTTCTTCTTTCTTTCCTATATCCGGCGGTAAACGTGTGGCTTCTCCTCTATCTGATGTTCCTTCGAAACGCTGCGCTTTTTCCTCCCGCAAGCACGCTTCGTCGCGTTCTTCTGCTCCCTGTGCATTAAATTCATCTGGTGCCAGTGCGCCTCACTCTTCATCTATTTGCAATGATCATTCGGTTCAAAACGGTTCTCAAGGTAATCACTTTGTTCACTAACCTCTTGCACGTCCACTTTGTTAGCATTAGCTTTCTTTCATTTAGTTGTTCTTTATTTCTTTTTTCCTTTTTCTCTTTCTTTTTTAGACCCTATTCCTAACATAGATTCTTGTGGTCGTCTTTCCGCTCCTTTCCGTCGTGTGGATGGGGACACCAGCGCGTTACACCCTCGGTTGTCCGACAACTCTTTCCGAGCGAAAGTAAGATGTGATCACTTTATGGGAGTACCCGGTCCCTAATTCTGTTAACCTGTCATACGTCAGTTGTCTTCGTGCAGTTTACTTGCTTTATTCTTCCCTGTACTTTTGCCATGCATTTTCTGTCCTTGGTATCCTTTCGCCTGACACTTTCAGCCACGTTTAGGTCAGCAGTCGGGCACATAGGTGAAGTTTCAAATGATCTACTCCATCCTCTAGTTTTGAGACTGTGCTTTTAATTTTTATGCATGCTTAGACTACATTCTCCTCCATCTTTTATTATCTTTCTATTATAAACACATTAATTGTTGTAACTGGTCAAGGCATTAACACAAGGCGTGTTTGGCTGACATCCATTTCTGAGCTGATTGAGTCCGAATTACGTTTCTCCATACTTTTTCTGGCCGATCTTTTTTGCAATCCGCTTACTTTATCATAGCTTTGCCTCATGATATTCGCCAGAACTCCACTAGAAATTTCTTCGGCACCAACCCTCTTTTGTCATTGCTAATGCTTTCGCCGAATTTTGTGTCCTGTTGCAACTCAATCTCGTTCTGATATACGCTCTCTCTCTCTCTCCTTCTCTATTCTTAGCCAAACTCACGAGGTGCATGGGGTGAACGAGCCGAACGTGATTTCGCCTTCACGGCCGGAAAATCGTTCAGACACGAGAAGACCAAGAAAAAGCGTGGCACTTATCAAGGTGGAGCCATATCCACTGCCGTGTCCTCTTTCAAATTTGACGATTGAACCGTTGTATCAGAGCATTTGTAAATAATACAGCACCCTATTTTTACCTTTGTAATCCGTGTTACCATCATTCCGAATGGGTCCAAAATCAACATGACGTTGATGACGACTTCTAAACCTTAATTGTTCATCACTATCAGTTTGAGCAGAGCGGGCCGCTCAAATTCACACTGTTTCCCAATTCAGATCAATTGAGTTCAGTTGAACAATTGTGGTCCGAGCACCGAAGTGCGATGGTTTTCGTAACTCATGTTGTAATAATAACTATGACTAACAACGGTAAGCTAGTGGGGACAAAGGCACATTGAATGTAAAGAAAATGGGAGCAAGAAGGAAGTGCGTTAACTAATCAGAATGGGACGAGACTTAACAACCAGATGCAAGAAACCGAATACAGTAACGCCAGCGACTGCGCCATGTCTGATACGGTCTCTAACCATTGGTGTGGATCATCCCGAAGCGCCCATCCGCAAAGACGCACCCGCCTGACCAAGTCTCTGGGTCAACTTTTTCATGTCACGATGCCACGTCATGGGCTGACCACCTCGCGGTTTCACCCAACTTGGTGAAACCACAGCATATCATGCACGCCGAGGAAGCCGGTCAATGGGCATCCGTAGGACATGCTTTAGACAATGTAATCCATTTAGGTTCAGCAAACACTTGACTGGGGCGTTTCCCAGTAAAGGAATCTGCTGCGAAAACCTATTTTTCCTGATGCCGTTGTTCTTAGTCTGTCAACTAGATAACTTCGACGCACTTTATATTCCCGTTGCGGTGCTTTTCCGAGATCCTCCGTGATGGTTTGCGAAGATTACTTGTCCTGGGTTCGAATCCGGCAGGATTTGATTAGTGTGCGGTACTGACGAGTCCCAGTAGAACTCTAATACCTTAGCAAAGACCTACCTGGCCGCCCACCCGCACGTACTTGTGGAGACCGCACCCTTTATAGCTTAACATCTTAAAGACAGACTTCTAGTGTCGTCCGATCGCATATAGTTTACCAATTCCCTTGCAATTGTGGTGCCAAGTATCTTGGGCATACGACCAGGCGTTTGTTGGTAAGGATGGCTGAGCACTGTCCAAGGTCACTGCGGAGAGACACGCTCACAACTATCAACAGTTCGATCTTGGAACATTTGTTTCAAAGTGGGCCTCAGATTTTGACCAAAGATGCCTTCAAGGTCTATTATGCCGTACTGCGGCGATACCCGAAAGGGTCAAGAAAACTCCTTTTGCAAGCGACTGAAGCCATCGCTATCAGACTGACACAGCCAGAGCTATGCAAGCATAGGGTGCTTGTACAACCCTTAACTTTACCATGGCCCTCATGAGAAGTCGTGCCCCGGATTTCGTTTATTTATGTAATTATCTCTTTTTCATTTTGTTAGTATTTTTACCTCTTCTGCTTACACAAGTTGTTTCACTCTCTGTTAGCCCTGTCACGACGTCACCTGATTAAATCGATTTGAGCATCGAACGAACGTGCTAAATCTGTTCAAACCGTCCCATCCGTCCTCATTTTTGCCTTCGCCAGTTTACTGTTGCATTTATCAGTCCTGTAGCTGTATTGCCTGATGTGAACTACCGAAGAGAGATCTTTGCAACCCTGTGTTTTTCGTTTCGTTGAACTTTATCTACGAGTTCAAAAACCCAATAAATCTATACTACTTAGCCGCTATCCTTAATCGCCTTAGCAGTTTACATGCCCGTAAAAAGTAGGTCGGTGCTCTGGGGCCATATCTGCCCTCTGCACGTTCATAACGCGCATGACAATGGAAGATAAGCCGCTCTACATAGCCGTTAGATGTCAGACGGCCGTCCGCTGCCGTCACCCATGGCACAGTTGCGTGAGTAGCTGACTCGTAAGAGTAAGGTCGTGGGTTCGAATCCGGCGGGCTTTGGCGGATGCGCGCTACCGACGACTCTCAATAGGACGAAACGGCCGTCTGCCACTTTCCTGGATGTGTGATGGCTGGTTACCTGAGTCTAGCTGCGACGAATCTCTACCAGAACCCATTACATTCATCATCATTAGTACACGTTAGCTTAGGGTGAGAAACACCGCTCAGCTAATGTGCCGCAATACAAAAAGTTAAGCGACTAAAAACTTACACAACAAAAAATATGATGTTAACTATTATATTATGCGTTTTACATGAAAACGGGGTTGGAAGGGGAACCTAAAGACAAAGAAACAACACAAACGCCATTGGCGTTGGCTCTTGGCCATATCAGCAAGTGTGTCCAACAAATGTGTTCATCCTCCTTAGGACCCCAGTCAGACAGTCATAATGCACCAACCGATGCCAGTCTCGAAGTGAGGGTTCTCATTCTTCTCGACCAAGTCATCGTTTGGCCTCCTCTTCCAACTCGCAAACAATACACGTCGCAGGAGTCAGTGTGCGCAACACGTGGCCCGGCCATCGGAGCCTGGTACGTGATATAATGGTGCTGAGCGATTCACTCGCTCTTCCTGCACCAAATACGCGACGCCGAGCACGCTCATTGCTCACGCGGTGCTCCCACCAGACATGAGCTAAGCTGCGAAGGCAGCGATGATCGAATGTGACGAGCCTCTTTATGTCTGTCCACCTGATGGGCCAGATTTCACAACCGTATAAGAGGGTTGAACGGACGGCTGCGTTATAAACTGCCCTTCAGGGCGAGAGTAATGTCACGTCTGCGCCACAGGTGGCGGAGATTGGCAAAACCACCTCGAGCTTTTGCCATACGGTTCGTAACCTCGTCTTCAATCTCATGGACGCTAATATAGCTGCCCAGGTACTTGGATTCCTGAACAACTTCAAGCTTATCCCCACCAAGCGTTCGTTTTTGGGGTGCGTTCATGCCAATCTTGGAGAAGTACTTTGCATTTCGATGGAGCAAAGCATAGCCCAAAACGATAGACATCCAGTGCTAGTCGGTCTAGTGCTGCTTTGTATGTTTAAGAGCCATCACAGATTAGGGCAATATCGTCCGTATACTCCAAGTCAAGAAGTCGATCACCAGGAAGTAGTTCCACACCTTTTAGGTCGTGTCCAGCGAATGCTGTTTCCATGACTTCATCAATAGCGAAGTTAAAGAGGAAAGGTGACAGCGGGCAACCTTGTCTCACACCGCTAGTGATACTGAAGGGTGGCGACAGTTTGCCATAAACCCTCGATCTGCCCGAACTATGCGCGTACAGCGCTTTGATCATTTTTACGTTTTTATCAGGCACACCTTTCCTCAGCAGACAGTCCCAAAGTGCACATGGATCGACTGAATCGAATGCACAGTTTATGTCCAAAACATGACAACAGTGCGTCGCCAATAAACTTTGTGATGCTCTAGCAACTGATGCAAAGTGAAGCTGTGGTCGTTGCAGTCTCGATTTCGACGAAACCCGGCTTGCTCTTCACGAATCTGGCTTTCACGAGTGCCAGTCAGTCTGTGGAGAATGACAGAGGCAAGCAATTTAGAGGCAATCGAAATCAGACTGATCCCTCTATGATTGCCGCATTCCGAACGGGAGCCTCCCTTGAAAATTGGGACAATGACGGAGCGGCTCCAGTCTGTCGGGACAGTCTCCTGCTCCCAAAGTTTCACTAGCAACTCGTGTAAATCATCTACTAGAGCAGGTCCCCGAATTTGAAGAGGGCTGGGGAATTCTATCTGCCCTGCGGCCTTATGCAATTTCAACAGCCTGATCTCACGTTCGACTTCTGCGCGTGAGGGCGGATCCAAGGAGACGGCCCAGGGAGAAGGGCGCTCAATGCCCGAAAAAGAAAGCGATAACTCAGGTTGGTTAAATTGCCTTGCAAAGTGTTCGGCCCAACGCTCCAAGCGTTTTGACAGGCTGTGGATCGGCTGCCCACTCTCGTCGCTTATGGTCTCGTTAACATTAGGTCTCATGCTGCCTGTTTCCCGTATCATAAAGAATAACACGATGGTTAATAACGGCAGCGGTTGTTTCCATCTCCGAGGCACGATGAAACCACCAGGCTTCGCGGTCTTTCTTCAGGTTAACACGCAGTTTTGTCTTGAGATTTTTACGAGTCTCATTGTATTCGCTTCCAGCCGGAATATTTCGGCGAGCATCCATAAGTTACAGAGACTGTGTAGAGACCCAATGTCCGGTTTGACAATTTGATTTGCCACATGAAGACATGCCTGCTGATAGTAACGTTTGGTGAGTATACATCCAGTGATCTTCGGCGGTGTTCAGTTTAGTTCAGCCCGGATGTCAGCGCACTTTGATACACATTCCGAACATCTGGCTGCGCCAGCTGGCTGGTGTCAATCCGTTCACATCAACGTTGCGGACATCCACCGAAACCCATCCGGAGGTCGGCGCAAACAAGTGGGTGTTCAGATTCCACGCTGGTACTCCAAATCGAGCGACAGTTTTTGACACAGCTTCTCCAGCGGTAACTGATCGCGTTATGCTCGATTTGCGTCCATGGCTGTTGCGATGCTGGTGGACGCCAAGTCACGCTGCTGCAGGTGCTGTGCCGAAAGTTTGTGCTTGTGATAAAGAGACGAGCATCTTCACCCAACTGTAGCAATCGCTCACCGTTATCGTTACGGGAGCCTACACCATGTTAACCGCCCAGATGAAGCTCATCAGAGAACAATTTTCTGACTGGTGTTTAGATCGCCAGCCAACACCACAGTATCAGTGCTTCGCCTGTAACTAAGGAGGTCATGAAGTTGCTGATAGAAATCATCTTTCGCCGAATCAATGCTGCAGCTCGTGGGGGCGTACACCACAATGTCACACGGGCACCGTTTGTTACTGCGCGACTTCGTAGCATGGAACAAACCAGCTAACCTAACGGCGCGCATCCGACTTTTGACTGGGATCCAATCGATCAGACAGCTTCAGCCCGGGGACTCAAAGCAATGCCGACGCCATCTTGACCGGCATTTGAAGCAGCATCATCGCCAGACAGGGGTGATAAGAATTTGCCGCCAGTATCACATATGGGGGATCGCAACGTAAGCACGGAGCTCGAATCTTGCAGGCGGGTTTCTGATAAACAGCAGATCTCGATCGACAGGTTTTCTAGTATGCTGGTAAGTGCTGCCTGTTGGTCTATCTGTAGCAAAGTGT